GAATCTGCAATAAAATTTTTGTTTGGGGTGGGGGGGTTTCTTACCTGTCGTTTATCTCGCGACCTATCGCTGACGAATGGAACAAAAAAACAAAAAAAAAGATAGTCGGAAGAGGAGGAGGAGGAGAGAAGAAGGAAGAAGAAGAAGAAGATGGGAGGAAGAGGAGGAGGAGGAGAGAGGAGGAAGGAGAATAAGATGAGGGGGAGGCGGAGGAGGAGAGAAGAAGAAGAAGAAGAAGAAGAAGAAGAAGAAGAAGAAGAAGAAGAGGAGGGAGGCAAGAAGGTAGGGTATGGTGGCGACAAGGCGATAGGGCCCTTTTTTTCTTACACGTCGTTTATCTCGCAACCTATCGCTGACGAATGGAACAAAAAAAAAAAAAAGATAGTCGGAAGAGGAGGAGGAGGAGAGAAGAAGAAGAAGAAGAAGAAGAAGAAGAAGAAGAAGAAGATGGGCGGAAGAGGAGGAGGAGGAGAGAAGAAGAAGAAGAAGAAGAAGAAGAAGAAGAAGATGGGCGGAAGAGAAGGAGGAGAGAAGAGGAAGGAGAAGAAGATGAGGGGGAGGCGGGGGAGGAGAGAAGAAGAAGAAGATAGTCGACCGTGGAGCAGTTTTCTTTTTTTTTTTCTTACATGTCGTTTATCTCGCGACCTATCGCTGACGAATGGGAAAAAAAAAAAGAAAAAGAAGATAGTCGGAAGAGGAGGAGGAGGAGAGAGGAAGAAGAAGAAGAAGAGGAAGAAGAAGAAGAAGAAGAAGATGATGATGATGATGATGATGATGAGAGGCGGACGGGCGGCTCCACGGCGACGGGGGACGGGGGGCTCCACGGCGCTGGCGACTCCGAGACGCTGGCGACGGGCGACGAGCGGGTCCATGGCGGCGGGGGAGTGAAGCTCCCAGGCGATGGCGACAGGCGGCTCCACGACGACGGGCGGCTGAACCACGAACTGCGCCGGCGGGGGAAGACCAAGGCCCCGTTTGGACAGCCGATGCAGGCCGCGGCAGCCAGTCTGCTGTTCAAACGGGTCGTCGTTTTCCCTCCAAACATCAAACGGCCCTCTGGCCGTCGATCATGGATGACCGACGGCCGGAGGGCCGTCACAATTTCAAAAAGAAAAAGCTGGCCTCACGGGCCCGACTCGCCTTTTTTCAGGCCTGGTCGGACCCGGTAGGGCCTGGGGACCCCAGCTGACGGCGATTCGGGGTCTGAACCTCCCCCCCCGACAAGGTGTGCTGGGGGTTCCCGGCCAGGCTGCCCGGGACCTCCCCCGGGCAGGCGCTGGTCGACCGGGCGGCCCAGATCCGTACTGAGCTGTTCTATGATTTTCACTACCTTATAATCATTGGCCGTCTGAAGTTCGAAAATAAAAATAAAAATTTTCATTGATAATTTTTCCACTTCAAGGGAGGTTGGGAGACCTACTGAACTTGCAAAACTCGGGATTTTTATTTTTCTCGAATTTTTTTTGCAAAGTTCAAACTTTTCTCTTTGTGATTAGTGGCTCCTTATCTGGGCGATTTATCCCTACCCACCCCTCCCCATCTATGTTGTTGCCCCCTCTCGTCTTACCTTCTCTATCTGTCTCTGGGTACCCCCTACGGCAACATTGGTGAGTTGCCACATCAGCAGACCACGTCAGCAGGCCACGTCAGCCGACAGCAGTGCCACGTCAGCAGCAAGGAATACCACGTCAGCAGGCCCATGGCCTGGTCTATGCTTTTGCGCTCGCAAACAGCCGTCATGGATCAGAAGTCCAAGGAAACAGATGAGGCCTATCAGGCCCGGATGCTGCTTCTGATTACCGAAGCTAAGCAACGGTCGGATGCAGTAGCAGCCGCAGCAAAGAAGAAGGCAGAGGACGCCGAGAAGGCACCTCTGCTGGCAATTGAACAGCAACGCCAGCACGACGAGGCAGCAGCAAAGGATGCCGATGAAGAACGAGTCCAGCGTCGTGAGAAGATATTCAGCGGAGAGTAAGCTTTGCTCACAATGGCAGCGGATTGGCGGGCCGAGGCTGAGAATGGCAAGATGGGAGGCAGTGAAAACAAGATCGCTCTACTCCTCTCCCATTTCACGGACCTCCTGGCAACATGCATTACACAGCAGGAGGACATCCACAGCCTCGACGACGCGTTGATTCAAGTCCACGGCCGCCTCCGACAGCTGGAGCAGCGACCTGTCGCCGCCCCCGATGCCAGCTCTTCCAACACCTCCGATCGCCTCGAGGCATCGGAGATTGACGTCAGTTCCCTCAAGGACGGCGTGCAGTTACAGCAAACTGCAACGCAACAGTTGGAGCAGTGGATCTGTACTGCCGCCAACCACTCGAGCTCGGAACCGCGCGAGACAGCTCCAAAGTTCGATGGGCAGGAGATCTTCTGCGACTCGACGAAGACAGATCCGATTTCATGGTTCCGCAAGTTCGAGCTCACGTTACAGCTACACTACGCCAAAGAACATAAGCACCATGGGTACTTATACTCCCGCTCGGGGGGCGCGAGCCAAGCATGGTTGGACAATCTCTTGTCCAAGTATGGAGTGGTAGCTGCCGACTTGCATACCAAGATCAGCTGGGATGATCTAAAGGCGGCGTGGCATAAGCGGTTCCAAGTAGAGCCGCCGGAGATCAAGGCAATGGATAAGCTGATGGTCTTCGAACAAGGCACGCTGCCGAGTGTTGATTGGACTGCCGAGTACCAACGCTTGACATCCGTCCCAAATATTCAAATGGGTTTCAAAGCCATCAAACACTGCTTCATCTCGAGGTCGTGTCCGGCGTTGGGCAATGCCTTGACTCACGTTGAGCACACCCTGACAACACCGGCAGAACTTTTTAACCAGGCCGCGTAGATTATTGTCACGAACAAGGAGGCCAAGAATCTCCCGCGTTCATTTGCGCCAAGCCTAAGCAGAGATCAGCATCGGCCAAAAGTGGTCGTGGTCGTGGCGGCAACGCCAAACGACCAAACTAGCGAGGCCGTGTCTGCCAATGAAGGGTACAAACTCGCAGCAGCCCGAGAAGGTGGCCGCCCTGGCAAAGGCCGAGGACGCGACAAGGCGAAGACAAACACCGCATCTAGCCCCGGGCCCGGCGCAGCAGCTCCAGCCCCATGGTCCCACTTCGGTCTCTCCGAAACGGCGTACAAAGCACGCACGAGATTCCACTATTGCCTATTGTGCAACAGCGATCTCCATGAGACAGTGGCCTGCCTGTCGAAAAGGGCAAATCGGGAAACTGAGCACCGCCGGGAGTGACTCAACGACACTCTCGACGCCTTTGGAACCGGTCACTTCGCGGGTGACCGCCCTTCGTTCCGAGGCACATGTGGAAGTCGATAGTCCTCTTCTTTATTCTTTTGAGGACTATGCTGCCTGGCTCGTTCCTACGCTGGGTACTCATGCTCAAGGGCAAGACGTGTGTGCGGCATCTTCTCCGTCCCGCAACGGCAACTTATCATCTTGAAGTGGTTCTTCACGGGATTCGGCGCGCGATTTCAACATAGAGGTATTGGACCCGCTCATGTCCGAGGATTTCGCATGGCTTCCTCTCCCGACCACGGGCCGCTTGCCGGGACCGCAATGCGCAGCATTATGCGCTCATCTTCGCACGTACTTATCCTTTTATGCACCACCAACTTCGCCGACGGATGACGAAGTCGCGGTGGGGGACATCCTTGCATATGTTACCAAGGTGGCCCGCGAGTTTCGCAATCAGCGGTACGACGACAACAATGCACCGCTCCTCTATGTCCGCATCCAAGTTGGGCAAGCGTCCCGCAGCGCTTTGCTGGATAGCAACGCGTCTCGCAATTTTATGAGCCAAGCCTTTATGCAAAAGGCTTGGCGCACAAGTTCGAAGGAAGGCAAAACCGACGGCGATCAAGTTGGTGGACGGAAGGACGCAGCAACTTATCGACCGCTACATCGAGGCCGTACCAGTGTATTTCGCACCTCATGCATGCGAACCGATGACATTCGACATTTTGCACACGGACTTCGACATTATTTTGGGAATGCCTTGGCTTGCAAGTGCGGATCACACGGTCAACTTCCACCGGCGGAATCTTACCATTCGCGATGCCTTCGGCGCCGAAGTGTCGTGTACTATTCCTCTTCCGCACCCTTCAATTCGGTGCCAAGTGGTGACGGCCAAGTCATTCCGGGCTACTTGTGCTTACGAGCAGCCCGACGAAATCGGCCTATGTTTCCTACGGACCGTCGCGGTAGCCGACTCTTCACCCACGGACTTGTCTTCGGACCCCCATGTGGTGTGGTTGCTTGACGAGTTCGCCGGCATCTTCGAGTCACCTACCGGTGTGGTGCCGGATCGGCCGATCTCTCACGAGATCATTCTTGAGGCCGGTGCCGTGCCGCTGAAAGGCTGCATTTATCGCATGAGCGAGGAGGAGCTTACGGTCCTCTGGGCGCAACTCCATGATTTGTTGGACAAGGGTTGGATCTGCCCTAGTAGCTCTCCATACGGAGCGCCAGTTCTCTTCGTACGGAAGAAGAACAAAGATCTACGATTGTGCATCGACTACTGCAAACTCAACGCGCAAACCGTCAAGAATGCGGGGCCTATTCCTCGCATCGACGATCTTCTTGAGCAATTGGGCGGCGCAAAGTATTTTTCTAAGTTGGATTTGAAGTCGGGATATCATCAAATCTTGATCCGACCGAACGATGGTTACAAATTCGTGTTCAAGACGCGGTATGGGCATTTTGAGTGGGTGGTCATGCCTTTTGGCCTCACCAACGCCCCGACGACCCCTACTCCAAGATCGCGACCCACTTGACCAAGCTTCAATGCGAGGATCGGCCATTTGACTTCGGAGAGGATGCGCGGGAATCATTTTTGGCTCTCAAAGCCGCACTATTATCTGCGGAGGTCTTGCGCATATACGACCCGCTTTTGCCTACGCCCGTCACTACGGATGCGTCCTCGAGCAACACGATGACGTGAACTGACACCCGGTCGAGTATTTCAACAAGAAAGTGCCCGTCATGCACTCAATTGACGATGCACGCATGTAGCGGACCTCTGGTTGGCCTGTGAGACCAGCCCCTTGGCCTGTTCTCACAGGACTGTGTTGTATTCGGGGTAGCCCAGTCCAGGCCGGTACCTCTGTCGGTACCAGCCAGTCCAGTCCAGTCAGTCCGCTGGGGTATGTCCAGCTGTTGTCTGTTTGTGAGATCATTCTACATTCGCACATCTTGGAGTATGTGCGTTGGAGTCTAGCGTGGGAGTTGCGCTGTGCTATCTCGCTCCCCCTTCATCCTCCATCTCCATCTCTATCCAAGGCGGAGCACCACACCTGGCGGGTCCGCCACACTGGTATCGGAGCTGGAACGTTCCCGACTTCCACCCACCACACCGCACAGAAGGGAAAACGGCCAAAACCCGATAGTGGGTTTTTCTGCTGGTTTCTGGCCGTTCGCAGCCGAAAAACAGCGAAATCGTGACGAAATGTGCAGCAGCAAGGAGGCGACACGTGGCGAAAAAGGAGCTGCCAGCACGCGACACGTGGCGAAAAAGGAGCTGCCAGCACGACATGTGCGTGCAAGCGCCAAGGCCAAGGCCGCCGCACACGCACGCGCCACGTGCCCACACTGCCCCGCCCCGCCCCGCCCCGGATTTATTATCAAGATCCGAGATGCATGCTGCTGCCAGGGTTTGAACCTGGGCAGCTGCTGGCTATGCGTGTGCCTAGCCACTTCCATAACACACTCGCCACAATGTACGTATGGTTTGGTAAGGTGGCACGCTCGTGTTGAAAACGTGCCGTGGCAGCAGCGGGCAGGCAAGTATTTGCCCCCGCCTCCCCCCCCCCCCGTCAGCGGGGAGACACCGTGGCTGCTGCTGCCTGTGGCCGTGGGCATCTGCAGTGCCACGTGCCAAGCTGTTGTGGACCGTGAAGACCCCCTGATCAGGGGCTGCTCTACAGGGGTGAGCTCTCCTCCAACTGGCTTGCTGCAGTGAAGGCCAAGACCCTCCTGGTCTTGGTATACCTTGTGCCCTTGGAGACACTAAGGGCCAGGTATCATCCCCCTCTCCCTACTAACCCACTTTCTCTACCTTTTCTCTCTCCTCTTACTCACCCCCTCAACTTCTTCCTCTTCCTCCTCACTCACCTCCTTCTAATCACCCTCACCACTCATACCCCTCTCCCCACCCCACCTTTTTTCCCACCACCCACTATTTTACTCTACTTATTCATTTATTTTATTTTCTTTCTCCTCTTTTCTCTTTGCTTCTTGATCCCTCCCCACCTTTCCCATCCCTTTCCATTCTCTCACTCTCCTCTCCCCCAACTACAACCCCATCACTTCCCCCATTTTCCCCTTCACTCTTTTTCTCTCTCTCACCTACCTGTCCCCTTTCTCCTTCATTTTTACATTCCCCTTCCCCCCAACTTAAAAATTTTCTGTTTTTCTTCTTTTTTATCTTTTTTTTGCTTTATATTTCCTCCTTTTTCCAAAAAAATCGAATTATCTCATTCCCCACCTTCTTTTCTCATTTTTTGATTTATTTCATTTTCTTTTTATTTATTCTGAAAATCCGAATCTCTTTGCGGCACCCTTACATTTGATTAGGAGTTAGTCATCCTTGCATTCGACACACATTTTGACCCCATGGGGATAACGAAGTGCTGCCGAAATTTTCTCATTTTACTTGGCCTTTCTACTTGACGGCACACTTCGAGCCCATGGGGGTAACGAAATGCTGCCGAAATTTTTGAAAAATCAGACACTTCATTTCTCTTCACCTCCTCATCTATTTTTTTATTTCTCTCTTTATTATTTCTTTATTTATTTTCTGAAATTTTTAATTTTTGGCATTTTGAAACTTAGTGTGCTTATCTTTCCCTTGGCACATTCTTGACCCCATGGGTGGTAGGGAAATGCTATCGAAATTTCCAAAAAAATAAATATTATTTCTCTCTTCACATTTTGTTTACTTATTTCATTAATTATGTTTATTATTTATATATTTATTTATTTTTACTTTTCTATCAAAATTTCACTGTTTATTTATTTTTCCTCCTGCCTCCCCCCCAATGCTTGCTATTTTATTTTCTTGATTAGGTCACCGGTACCCTACCCTAACCACTCAAAACCCAGTTAGTGTTTAGTTAGGGTTTTGTTAGGGTTTGGGATTTTCCTCAACCCCCCTACTCCCCCTTTCCATTCGGGCACCCTGGACCCAAACCACCCTTCCCCATTTGCAGGCGCCCGCGCTCGACTCTTTAGCGCTCCCCGTCGCTTTCTACTGTGGACCCCCCCCTACGCCTTTCGCTCATGCGGACCTACTTTGGCCCCCTCCAGTCTGACCCGTCACCTCCCCATGGCCGACGGCGTGTCACAAGCCGCAGACACGGCGACGACCTTGGCACCGGGTCCATACCCGTGCCGGCGGACCAGGGCCCTCAGATCCAGGGGGATCTGCACACCCTCCTCACCTCCCTCCTTGTGCCCTTACAGGCGTAGGTGGCGACTCTTGCCGCTGGCCTGCGGCAACTCCGGGACGCTGGCCGTCCTTCCTCTCCCCACTCTCTCTCTTCCCCTGGCTCCCAGTCCGGGTCCCCCGTCCTTCGACATGGTGGCCATGGCCGAGCTTCCTCCTCCGCTGCCCCTGACCCGGCCACGCTCCTAGCGCAATGGCCGCCACGGGACTGGCCTTCCCTTACTCTAGGGGCGCACCCGCCCAGATTCTGGTCACTACGATTACGGGACCACAACCCACTGTCGTGGTCTCAGCTTCTCCGGGTGCCCCGCTTCCCCCTCCCCTTCGCACAACCGCAGCGCCACTTGGCTCTCCCCCTTGTGGGATGCCTCACGCCGCTCATGCATATACTCCTGCCACCCCTCGCTCAATCTACGTTCGACGTCTTGAGGATGAGCGTGCCCAGACCCGGGCAGACCTCGCCCTCTTACGCCTTCAGCCACCCCTACCCTCACAGGTGGCCTCGCCTTCAGGCTCACCCCCTTCTTCCTCTACTCTTCCTTCCATGCAGGCTTGCTTCCCTCGCCCTGCACCCTATCCACCCCATCCTACCTTCTTCCTATTCCCTCCTACCTTCTTCCTATCCACCCCATCCTACCTTCTTCCTATCCACCCCATCCTACCTTCTTCCTTCCATGCAGGCTTGCTTCCCTCGCCCCGCAACCTCTTCT